GACCAAACAATTTCCATGAAACGCTTTGCAGGTTTCTATTTCCTTTCTTGCAATATACTGTCATTGCTCTTCATCATTTCCACTGCTTTAGACATTATATCTAAGGATAGCCCAATCGATGATGGCCATACCATAGTTTCAGCTGATGGCTACTTTGAGCTTGGGTTTGTCAGCCCTGGAAATTCCATGAATCGGTTCGTTGGAATATGGTACAAGAAGATATCATCAAAGGAAGTGGTATGGGTTGCCAATAGAGCGAACCCACTGAATGACACATCTGGCGTGGTAGCAGTCAGTGACAAAGGGATCCTACTGCTCAATAGTACCCAAGGCATAATCTGGTCAACGAATTCATCGACATCCTTTAGGAATCCAGTGGCTCAGCTTTTGGACACTGGAAATCTTGCCCTAAAGGACGGAACTGATCTTGTCTGGTAGAGTTTTGATTATCCAGGCAGTACGTTATTACCGGGCATGAAGATAGGCCGTCACTTAGTCACTGGCCTGTATAGGAGTCTTACATCATGGAAGAGCAGTGATGATCCTTCACCAGGTGAATATGTAGCTCGCCTCGATACAAATGGTTATCCTCAAATTATTTTGTGGGAAGGTCCTGTTATAAAGTATTCCACTGGACCATGGAATGGACGTCTATTGACTGGACGACCAAATATGAAACCAAATCCTTATTTTTTATTTGAGTTTGTGAGGAATGAAAGGAGATTTACTACAGATACGACCTTATAAATGCTTCTCTTCCCACCAGGGTGGTCATGATTCCGACAGGTCTAATTCAAGAGCTTGTGTGGATTGACCGCACCCAAAGCTGGTTGCTTTACTCGACAGCACAGATTGATACCTGCGATAGCTATGCCTTGTGTGGCCAATTTGGGAGGTGTAACACCAAGGACTCCCCTCCGTGTGCTTGTTTGAGAGGATTTGAGCCTAAATATCCGATGTAGGAGCCTTCGAGTAACATTATTGTTCTGTTAACACAAACGTCTCATCATTTTAAGAGCAGAAAACTGAATTACCATGACATTATGCAGATGACAGCAGGAAAAGACGACTTCCCTGGGAAAATCGTTTTCAAATTGCTATGGGAATATCGAGGGGTCTTCTTTATCTTCATCAGGATTCCAGATTAAGGATTATACATAGAGATCTAAAGACCAGCAACATTTTACTGGACAGTGAATTGAAACCCAAAATTTCTGACTTCGGCTTGGCTAGAATTTTTGGTGGAGACCAAATTGAAACAAAAACAAAGCGAGTTATAGGGACATAGTAAGTTTGAAAAGTTTGACACGTCATTCTTCATGTTTATCACATCATAATATGACATTGTAGAATTTATGCAGCGGCTATATGTCTCCAGAGTATGCTGTTGATGGGAAATTTTCAATGAAATCAGATGTGTTTAGTCTCGGTGTTCTTCTATTAGAATTAGTGAGCGGAAGAAAGAACAGGACATTTCATCAATCGGGCCACCATCACAATCTTATCGGACATGTAACAAGATATCAATCCAAGATTTTCTTCCCCTTTTTCTAGCTGAACTTGTATTTCATGCAAATCGTACTGGTTTTTTCCTCAGGCTTGGTTATTATGGTATATGAAGGCAAGGCGTTGGAACTAATGGATACATGTCTCAAAGAATCGTTCGTGGAATTTCAAGTGTTAAGATGCATTCATGTGGGGCTATTATGTGCTCAAAAGTTAATGGCAGACAGACCAACAATGGCATCAGTTGTTATCATGTTGAGCAATGAAGAAGTCGGATTACCTCAACCAAAAGAGCCTGGTTTCTTCATAGAGAGGAGTACAGATGAATCAAATGAGAAAGATGCCTCACTGACAATGTTTTGACACTAACAATTCTTGAACCGAGATAGATTGAGGGGCATACTAACTACTGTACTTTTTAGGACACAAAAATTTCTTCTTGATTTTAGAAAACTAGTCTCTGATGTTCAATTAGTTAGATATTCATTATCGGACTTGCATTTACTAGCTTGTTTAGCCTGTAAAAATACAACATTTGGAAACCAAATCCGGTGCTGAACAGTTGTGCAATTATTCTATTATTATGAGATTGATTATCAAAGCTTCACAATTAGGGGTGTACAAAGGAAACCGACAAACCGCACCAACCCGATAATCTGAGTCAAACCGAGAAAAAAAAAACCCGACTATGGTTTGGTGTTGGAAAAAAATATCGACCATAATTGGTTTGGTTTGGTTTTAACTAAAGAAAGTCAAACCAAAACCAAATCAACCCGACATTAAATATATAGAAATTTTAGATATATTTAATATATAAATATACTTATTGTGATGTAATTTATAAATATTTCTTAAAAAATTTCATAATTTTATCTTTTAAGGTATTATTTCAAGGTTGGACTTAGAACTTTTGAATGTTCCAATAAGTTTTATAGCCATTAATATTAGTAAATTAAATAATGCTAACAAAAGCCCAAACCAAAATCAAATCAATACTAATGCTAACAAAAGACATTCAATTCAATACTACAAACGAGAATGTATTGAATATCTATTTTTTGTTTTGCAATAATTTAGATAAAAATGCATAACCTATTTTTATTTTTCTTTAGCATTTAGTCATTTAGCATGACTCAGTACTTTTAGATTATGTTTATTTTTATTATGACTTTTTAATTAGCAATATTTATATTACATAATTTTATTGTCTTTATTGTTGAATATTTTAGGATAATGCCATGACATATCTCATATTTTGTATTATTTTATTGGAAAATACTTTATATAGTTGCATCTTACTAGGATTAAAGAAATATTTTGAGCACAAGTTATATGTTTTGTTCAACGAAGATTTTACCGAAAAAACCCGAATAACCCGAAAATCGGAGAAAACCCGAGAGTGAAAACCCCGAGTTTTATTGATTTGGTTTGGTCTTTAGATTTAATAACCCGACACAATTGGTTTGTTTTGGTAATTGTAAAATCTGAATCAACCCGACCTATGTACACCCTATTCACAATGATATTTCTCAACAAATAACAAGAGATAAGTAGTAGATTATACAGTATATGCAGCATGACAAACTTGTCTTTTTGTTTCTCAAATGATCATTGTTTATTGTTGGTAGGCCAACAAATCTTTAACTCCATCAGTACAGAAGTCTATATAGAAACTCTTTATTACTTTTTTTCTTTTCATAATTAGTCTGTTTAAAGAAAAAGACTTTAAGTTCAATATATATATATATGAAGCCTAGTTTGACTGTTCCTCTTTTCCAGTATGGAACCTTGTTTTCTTTACATTGACCTTTGTTTTAGCAATACGCTTTAGATTTAGTTTCTAGAGCACAGAATTGAAAGGAAGAATGCTAGTCATAACGGAAGTTCTGCTCATCAAAACTACTTGAAACGATGTTTTAACTATGAAACAAGCATCTACGGTTTCCTGTCGTTCAAAATAGACCTTCAATTCCAAATCATGTTAAGCAAGTTTTTTTAATCTTCCTGAGGCAACCCTTAAACATATACTATAGTATAAAGAATACAAAGAATTTGCCTGGGGGAAGGCTAATAGTAAGACAAAATGCCACTTGATTAACTGGAAAACACTGACTAAACATAAGAACTAGGGTGGTATTAGCCTATATATAACTCTAATTGGAAAAATCAATCTATTATGACCTCTTTTTTATGGATATTCAACTCTAAGAAGTGAACTCTGAATAATTAAGTCCTTCATCTGGCTTGTCTCACATAATAGTCCCAATACAAAATTCAGTATTATTTTATTCTTTATATGGTTGCATTTTTTATTCCTGCATAAGTAATACCCATATAACTCGTATCTATACTAGAATCTTGATATAATTTTATACTATATCCAATGTGGGATAACAGTTCAAGAATTTGTTGTCCTTGGATAAAACAAGTAAGATTAAAAAAAGCTCCCTTCTGCCAAAATTCTTTCCAGCTTTCTCAAAGAAGGTCAAGGTTACAATTGGAAACTTAAATTTAAAACCAATCATATGTTATTTATACACTACATATCTCTTTTTTAATGTGATGAGCCAAATAATCATAAGTAATAATTAATTCCAGAATTATTAGTTTTAATATATTAAACCTTGATCCTAAGTTTTATTAGGAAGATCGTTTAAAGATTGTTGGACTTGCTGAACCACACAATCGTTTATCTTTCCTTTGGTACGTAATTTTGATTTTTTTTTTTTTTATAAAGAAACAAATATGTGAATTCTCTCTTTTGGCTTTTGTTGACTATTATTAAACCACCAAATATGATACATGAATTTTTTTGTTAAACTTAAAAAAGTTAAAAGAAAGACAACACTGGTGTGAAATGTCAATTTCTTAATCGCTTGTAGTGAATCATGTGGTTAAATTCAAGTGCATAAGGAACTTCCAATAACTTGTTTGGCCGTATAAGGAGTATTTTGCCAAATAGTAACTAAGATGTGGACAAGTGTGTCAAAATTGTCCAAATATCCTAAACACACTTTATCATCCAAGTTGTGTCACAAAATGAATTTCTTTTTTCCGGTGCAAAATATAGTTATTTTTTCTCTCTAGTATGTATCAATTACAAAATGGAATGCTCATTGTTGCACTCGGAAATATATAGTTTGTTCACACTAGCCAAAATTCTTCTATGTTCCCATTTGCCTGCTTCCAAAATTTTAACAAACATACTGAGGGAGACGTGGAACTGCCAAAGACTAAGCAATCGTTTGCTTACTGGGGAACTAATCTCGATATAAAATTTGAGATTATATTTATCTCGTGTCTTGTTATAAAATATAGCTAATACCAATATAAAGATATAAAAATCTAGGTATTATCTGTATCTCATATTATATGTGGGCAGGAATATAAATGTTCTGAACCTAACGACCCCTAAGTATCAGTAATACTAGTACTATGCATCGTATTTCCATTCCTTGGCAGCAAATAAGCCACGCCATCTGCTCCCTAAACCCATGATCAAGAGCTGGTTCTCTTATATACTTGGAATTGACCTGCAAAATGAAGTCTTGGTCGTCTTTCAGACCACCTACGGAAGAGAAGACCATGAGAGACAGGACATATTGACTTGTCATATCCACCCTACACAGTTAGATAGATTCTCTTTAACTGTTTTGAAGAAAGATGCAACCAAAGTATAGCCATGGATACATTTCTATTCAGTCTACTAATCTGCTCCTTAGTTTTAATTTAAAAGGTTAATGGTCAAGGGGATATCATAACTACAACTCAGTTTATCAAAGATGGTGAAATTATTGTTTCCTCTGGCGGAACATTCGAATTGGGTTTCTTCAGTTCAGGAGAAACTTCTACAAATCGATATGTTGGAATATGGTACAAGAAACCTTCTGTTATTACTCCAGTTTGGGTTGCTAATAGAGTAGCTCCTGTCACCAATAAATCTGGGGTCTTGAAAGTCATTCAGTCAGGTCTTGTTGTTCTTGTCAATGATACTAATGCCACTGTTTGGTCAACCAATTCATCAACAACTGTGCAAAATCCTGTTGCTCTGTTGCTGGACACTGGAAATTTTGTGGTGAGGGATGTAGATGATCCAAATCCTGAAAATTTCCTCGGGCAAAGCTTTGATTATCCTAGCAATACATTGCTGGCCGGTATGAAACTTGGAACGGACTTGGAGACTGAACTAGAAAGGTATCTTAGCTCGTGGAGAAGTAATGACGATCCTGCTCCCGGGGAATATACTTATCACTGTGATCCCACTGGTTATCCGCAAGACCTTATGAGAAAACGCCCTAATGTGACTTTTAGAGCAGGGCCATGGAATGGTCTTCGGTGGAGTGGTGCACCCAACATGGTGAACAACTCGATCATTTATTTTGGCTTGATCATGAACAGTAGGGAAATTAATTACAATTATAAACTAGTGAACAAATCAGTTATTTCGACGTTAGTGATAAAACCTTTTGGAAAAACTATGCGTATCATTTGGATTGAGAAGACTCAGAGTTGGTTTAACTATCACTCTGCAGATGCAGATTACTGTGACACTTACAAGTTATTGTTGCGGAAACCAAATGTATATGTCACACCTCCTTTTTCCGCACCCGCGAGGGGGGCAGGGGGAGTTTTTTCCAATTAAAGGAC